TGCATTGAATTTACAGTTAAATGAGGCTAATGAACAAATAGCACAATTTAAAAAATAGCACGAATAAAAATAATCGATCCTGCTGTGAATATCTTCATTACAAATTCTGTCACGCAGAGAAGCTCTTTGAGTGATCTTAAACTTCCTCAGGCGGCCAGCAGTGAAATACCAGGTCATCACTGGCAAATCGCTCTGATTGTACACTTTTGTTTTTAAGTTTTGACAAACATACGTGAAGAAAAGATGTATCATCGTCTCCCAAACGCTGCCCAGCCCAAGTTAGATCCTCTCGATCGAAGATGTATAACATAATTTGTCCTCGATAAGTAGACTCGGTAACAATTATGTTGTACGTAATGTTCCCAATAACTACCGGCATTGGCAGACATGGAAGTTACACATGATCATTATATTCTCCGTGTTCACCTTTAAACGTAAGACTGCAGTTTAATTTTCCGTGTAATAGCCTTGAGATTAAGATTGTGATCGGAGTTCTTGCGTTCTGTGACGGGTCAGGTCAGGGTAAAATTTAGCTACGACCGCAATGGACTGTTTCCACGAGCTTGTCATTTATATCGTTAACTGTTGCAATCTTCTAAAGACTAAAACGATTTTGTCTTTAGAATAGAAAGTTTTCGTGGCTTTGAATACAGCACGAGGGGAATCAAGCGTTGATTTCATTAGAAGTGACTTCCCCAACTTAACGGGTTGTTCAACCACTCGATAATAATGAAATGAATTTCTCATTTTTCGTCGTATCGGCGAGGATGGCCTAGATCCATTCAGATCTTGAATGAGAGTTCATTATAAAACCCATGAATCTGCTCCATGAAGTCATCCACCTATCGATCTCTCGGGTTCCAAGCTTCACAGCTTCAGGTCACCGTACAGTCTTGTGCCAAATTTGATGTTTAAGTCTCCCATTGACACGATATGGTGTAGTAAGTTTTCAAGGAATGCATGGCTCTGGGATGGGATATACTAACGTTGGAGTAGAATAGAATAAAATTTTTATTCAATATAAATTAAATGTAATTCTTATGGAGTCATTTTTACTTTTACCACTAGTTCGGTAAAAAAACACGTGTCTTGGGAAAAACCAGCAAGAAACCCAGCGGGACGTTTTTAAATAAAATTAATTTACATTAGGTATATTATTTTATACAATTAGTGTGAAAACATTTAGAAACACCATCCATCATGTGATCTTTAGTAGTATAATAACACTTATTAAACAATGTGTGCTTAATAAAAATTTTTACCTTTTTGATAGATAAAGCCTGCATATTTTCTGGGACTTTGTTGTAAAAGCTTATAGGTACATTGCCCCATAAAGGAATTATACTGTTTCTTTGGAGTCGAGTAACTAGTATAACTAACTTGTGCTTGTTTCTAGTATTTACAGAATGTACATCAATAATTTCAATAAAACTATTTTTATTAAGAGTGTAAACCTGTATGAAGGACATACAGGTTTGGTGATATCGAGTATAAGGTGCGAAACCCTTGTCGCCACACTCCCGTACTTAACCACGTTGTTAATAATTCTTGTGGACGATAAATCTGACATCTCCTGACAGACAGGTTTTTACGTGATAGAGCCATGCTGCAGCTATATTAATAGTATAGTTATAGCACGAATGGGTTGGCTCGACCGGGGAAGGACCACGCTCTCACATACCAGCGTAAAATAGCAGGTTTCGTATGGTGAGTGTAGAGAACCGGAGAACCCTTTTTACTGTAAGAGGCATTCTATCTTAGTCCTCACGATTGACAACGCATCTGCATTTTAATTCGCAAACGAAGATAGACAGATAGTAAAAGATCACTGATGGATAGAGACCCGTTGTTGAATTTTGAAAATATAAGTGATAGATCCATGCTGCAGTTACATTAAAGTTATAGTTGGGTTAGCTTGACCGGTGAAGGACCAAAACAAGACATTTTAGTCCTTAGCGGTGTATCTGCATTTTGATTCCTAATTAGGGATGGACCACAGCAACCACTTATGGACTGTGTGCTCGTTTGTCACCCTTATTCTATAAAAAGGACAGATGGTCGTCCTTCCGGTGATGGAACAAGTTGCCGGATTCGCGGACCTTAAATAATTATATAACTTATTAAACACGATTCCTACATTCTCACAAAAGTCCCACATTCCCACAAGATTCCCACAATGACGGCTCTATGGTGCAGTTGCTTAGCGTTGAGTTGCCGCGCTGAGGGGCGCGGGTTTAAATATTTGTATCTATGGCTTACAGATAATGGTTCCGGGTCTGAATGTTTGTCCTTGTGCATTATGTATGTGAATTGCCTCCACGATACAAGAGAAAATCGTGGTGTGGGGGTAATGTTTTAAAAAAAATTGCACTGCTAGACTCCACGTCCGGGCGATAATAAATCCTGTTAGAAGACGACGCCAAGGCATTTGTCGTGGCCCAACTCTTGATTATAATGGTCACTTACCAGAAACAGGGCCTCTGGGGATGCGGACGTTCAGGGCGGGAATCCAGAATGTCTAGTAATGTAACCCCCGAGGAAAACAATGACTCGGAAATGGTCTCGAGAATCGTGCATGAGAGAGTGCTGGGGTAGTGAGAGGCTACCCGTAGGCGTATTACGTAACTTGCACAAGGCTAGCGATAACGAAATTAGAACAATAATCACAGATTCGTATAATGTACCAACGATAACCAAGTCCTAGCTACTAACGACCACAAGGCAGGCAGGCAGCGCTGTCGCTAGATAGCTTGGTTATCGCTGATACATAATACGAATCTGCGATTTATCAGCAATTACTGTTCTAAGTAATTTCGCTATCGCTAGCTTTTCGCAAGATACGTAATACGCCTACCAGTTGGTCTTCAGATGGGAATCGCGAGGATTCCGTACTCTGATCTCTGATGGGGTTTTAACCGGTAAATGACTGGCATTACTTTGCTATTATCTTCGCAGCGGAAAGTATTCATGAGGATTTCTCCTCGATAAGAAAAAATTATGAATACTTATGTTGTCATAAGAAAAATACTAGTGTTCACAAATTAACGCAATGATACAAAAAAGCAGATGTTTGCTTCATTATTGTAGTCTAGGTTCATCTTGCACGATTTTATTTTAGGAATTTCCGTACGTACAAATCGTTTGTTTAATTTTTTTAAATAATTGCTTAAATAAAATTATACACAGACACTAAATGACGCCCTCGCGGATCGGGCACAATTGTTGATACCTACGTACTGAAATACTTTAAATATTAATATAACGCATTCAAAAATGTAGAAAAAATATATTTACATTTTTTCATTACACCATTCAAAAAAAAACAAAAAAAAACCACAACCAAAACAAAACCAGGTTCAAAAAACCATATTGTAGTCTTTTAATTAGACGAATCTAATCGCGAAATACAACAATAGTAGCCTACATCTATACTAATACAACTAAGCAGAAGTTTTTTTGTTGTTTTTTTTTTTGTTTAAACTCTGGAACTATCAGTCCGATTTGAAAAATTATTTTTGTGTAATAGCCAGGTTCATTACGTAAATACAATGTTCTACATAAATATAGATCTTTATCATCTAAAAAAAAGTACGGGATACCTTATGCCTATTTCTTATACATAAGCCATACAATAAGGTATTTAGTGACAAAAATTATTGAAAATTAAAAAGTAACTTATGAGCGTTATTATTTGGCACGGCATATTAATTCTTATGAACGAAAGTTACTTCATCATCAAGACAATTTTATTAAGATAAACTATGCTATTTATAGCATGTTATTTGAACAAGAAAACGTACTCCATTCATTTTGCCAATTTTTCCATACATTGCTATCTAAAATGCTTGAACCTATCATGTCATGTCGCGCGGCTCAGACGCGTGATATACGTGAGTGAAACCGCGGGGCACAGCTAGTACAATAATAAAATTAACAACTTTACTGTTTTGTGTAACAATTTTAAAGGCGTAATTATAGGTGCAGATTTTTATAAACTTCTAAAATATGTAGGTATGTAATTATAATTATTTCTTTTTAAAAGTATCCCACCCTTGCAAGTAAAAAAAATATCTTTATCCTAACACTAGGGTAAGTTTTATGGTAAAAAAAAAACTTATTTTACTCCAAAAGTACTAATATAATACAATTAGTACCGATTTTAATGCTACAATAATCATTTATTTTTCATCATACAAATAACAAATCGTCTCGTAAAATAAGAAGTGTCGTACGAAGTGTAACACCATACCCATGCTCCACAACCTACGTAAAAAAAGGACGTTTTACGTACGTAAAAAAAGGAAGCTATACACATAAATTTTGATTTAAGTCCACGTTTAAAAAAAATGAAATGGGATTATTCATTATTTTAATTCAAGTTTTTGGACCAGTTTTCAAAATAACATTAATTATTTTTCTCATTCTGATTTTAAATCTGGCCACTACAGGGGTTATTTCGAGTACAATAAAAGTACAGAATAAAATAAAAGTTTCATACAAACTATAACACTACACCCCATTTCACCTTTTGAATTTTTAATGGTTTGAATTTTTAAGTTCTCTAAAGGTAATAAAAGGAACCTATTGTCCCAATTTTACACTTCTACATCCATTGCTTTGGGCTGCTTGTATCCAAATACAATATTTTTCATACAAACATTCCACCCTCATTTTAAAACTTAAAGGATAAATTAATAAAAATAATGATTTTATATTTTGTTATTTTATTTCAAGAGTACTTGGACCAGTTTTGAAATAAAGAAAAAAACCATAAATTTTTTCCATGAGCACACTGCGAGGATTTTTTGAAAAATCACAAATTTCATCAATAGTTCCAGTACATTCCAAGTAAATCACCCAGTAAAATAAAAATACAATAGTGAGATTCTCTGAATGCTATTTCATGCAGCTGTTGTTACAAATGTAATAAAATAAAGAAAACAACTTTTAATTTAAAATAGTTTATGGACATGTTTTTATTTACAGTACAATTTTAAATATTACTTAGAACTTTTCTTTTTTTCATGTTGTTTGGCAGCCTTCTTTTTCATAATCTGCAGCCTCTTATCGGCAGAAATTATATTAATATTAGGTGTGACAACCTTCGAAGGTGATGAAGAAGCAGAACTACTTGAAGATATCTTTACAGGTGTAGTGGATTCAGATGCATGCGAAGGTGATTTTGATGAAGATGAAGTTTTACTAGAATATCCAACAGCAAATCCTTGAGATGAAAGGCACGAAGCACATTGCCAGCCGGACCCCATATCATTATCACTAATAACAGGCTTGTGACAATCCTGAAAGTAATTATAACATTAAAATAAAAAAATATGTAATATTTTAGGACAAGTAAATTATTATTAAAAAACAAAGAACTAAACTGCAGTGATGTAACTAATGTACAATCAATATATTTTATATATGAAGTATCTATCTTATTTCTTTTCTTCTTTATGAGCTTGCAATGGTAGACAGCTTGAAATAAGCCTCTTCCTTTATAAGGAGGATTTCTTCTAATTGTCAACCTTGCTCGGCTGATTAAAGATAGGTAAGCAAAATGTCCTGCAACTTCGACACTGCTGTCCATCACTAGTCTTTGTATTTTACTTCTGGCATAAGCACGACGGTATTATCACCACCTATCGAAAGACATAAGATTTTTCTGGCATTTCTTATATTCCTTCTTACAAAAGTGACGGGACAAAAAGGACTGACGAATTCTTTTATGCTGCCACCATATGGCAAATCAGGCTGAAGGTGACGTTGACTCTATGCCACACAACAGAAAACTAAGAAATGCTTACTAGTATGTAATTAATAAAAAGTTTTTTTTAATTAAAACTACAGGGATCCATACACCCCTCTACAGAGGATTTATACCAACCACTCCACTACCCCTCCCCTTCTTCGCTCATTTCCTTCACCTTAAAATTGATCCTAGGTTTTTTTTTACATTCTTCCCAATTAAGTAACACAAATGTAAAAAACTGCAAGTGCTTAACATACCTGATGATAAAGAGCATGACAAGCATCACATTCTACCAAACGGTTCCCAGCCTGAACTGCAATCTGTCTACACACTACACAGGTAAGGTCTTCCTCTAAGAGATCAAATGCCAATTCACCATCCATCACAGAACTGTCATCATTCTCCCGTTCTGGAATTTGAATCTGTTGTGGACTTTGTTGTGGGATAGGCACAACCCTTGAGCTACTTGATTTCTCGCTTTTGGTCTTTGATCTAGATGTCACCTCCATTTTCTCTTCAGCCAAGTACTTCTTTGGTAAAACATTTCCAAGAGTTTTTGAACTACCATAAGTTTGTCGAATAACATCGTCTAAAGTTAATCTCAGTTGTTCAGTTGAATCAGGCGCGCTGGAATGCAGATACTTAAGACAAAGTTTTATTGATGGATCAAGATCTATAGAAGACATTTTAAAGGAAAATTATAAAGGGCAGAGAGAGAATAATTTCCAATGCCAATGATTATTATTGACTAATAATAAAATCAGGAAAATTTGTGTTTATTATGTTGTTACCAAAGAGTATAGTAACCACAGAACACTAATACCCTTAGGCTTCTTCTTGATAACTGGCTTTACGGCTCTGGGATCTTGCCCTTCTGAACCTGAAGTTACAATATTATATTATAATAATTATTCTTCATAGTATACTGCTTCACAATATGTTGATGCGTCACATTGTGTAGCCCTTGGGAGATTTTGATGGTAACTTGAGCCAGCAGACAGCTGACGGTTGGCGATGGTATCTCAAGGCGCCTAAGCAGACAGGCACCTTATTTTGAGAATCACATCACTATCAGAGCACTTGTTTCACAGTTTCCAATAATAGTTCACATGCTTAATACACAAAAACGTACCACTTTTACATATCAAAGTCCACTTCAAACCATTAATTAAACAATAAAACAGGAGCAGCAAACCGCCGCCGGTCCAGTTCCCGCCAAAACTCCAATACCCTTAGGCCGGCCACATACATACGGAATTCCGTTTCGTTATTCCGTTTCGGAATCCCGAACGCACAGGCGGTCATACGGAATTTCGAATCGGAGAAATTCCGTACGGAAAAATAACGTACGTGTGTGGCGGGTCATAGATTTTATATGGACTTGCTGCGTTCGGAATCCCGAATCGGAATATCGAAACGGAATCCCGAAATGGAATTCCGTATGTATGTGGCCGGCCTTAGGCGGGTAGTAACTGGCACAGACTACTATGATGCTTACGCATCTGGTAACCAAAGAGCAGTGCATAGCAGTGGCATAACAGTCCATACTGGTCCATACTATAATTTTTCTTAGAGGTATTAATATGTTATGACAGTTTGTCCATGTTGCAGTAGATGTCACTTTTTTTAAATTTAGCCATGGTAGGCCAATTAAGAATCAAACAAATTAATGAATAGTTCAAAACCATAAAACTAAGAAAGAAGAAGAAGAATAGTTCAAAATATAATCGAACCTTGCTAACTTACTATTTTGTTACAAAACAAATTTGTAATTAAATTTTTAGTGTAATTTATTTATTTCACATTTATTCAAGTGAATTATTATGATTTCGCCGTTGCAAATTGTTTTCTCCGTTTATCTATGGCAAGAGCCGGAGGGAGAGATCTATGGTCATTTCGGTCTGTCAATGTTACAAATGTCATATATATTTAATTTTATTTTATACATCAATATTAAAAACAAAAGAAACTAAAACTAGTAGTTTGTGTGAGAGTAAAACTAGTAACTTCATTTAATGTAATTTAATTTGTCTGTTTGTCATTACATTTTTCCTTTCGTGGTTTGTGAATGTGCTCTGTTTGTGTTTATAAGACTTTAACAACTTTGCTTGATCCCCGGACTCCGAAGACTTCGCCTTTTTCGTTGCACTTACGCATGAAACTCTGGACCCTGATTCGCTTAACTATTTGTGCTCTATTGACCTGGATTGTGGCTTCTTTTGAGAGAAGTTGTTGTGTACTATTATAATAAAAGGAAGCATTATAAAAAAACATCCAACCGCTAAACAGTTGTTTTATTTGCCTAAATTATATTGTATACAAAGTAATTTCCAAAAGCCAAATCAATATTAAAATGGTTTGACTTTTGGAAATTACTTTGAAAATAAATAATAAATATTGTAATATAGAGCATCCTACGTCATCGCTGTGCTGTAGGGACGTCGAATATCGATAGATGGCGCTAATGCTACGATTCTAAGTGATGACTCTATTCCCTATATATAATGTACTCTGTAGAGTATAGTAATTGTCCTCTGGTACACTCTGGTAACTAGAGGTGGGCGATGCATACCGTATACCGATACGAAATCTATATATTGGTACAATATCTAAAAACCGCTTACTGGTTCGTTTCAAAACTATGTACTACAAAATCTGATATTTGCGTACCGCCGCGATGCCTATATCGCTCCGCATCGGTCGGTGGCTAGATTCGCCGTGTGCGTCCGAGTACGAGCGATATGGGTATTAGATTAGACATAGCGGAAAATTAAAGTCTTACTAAAATCTTATATTTGTACACTACACTAAATAATAAAAAAAAACATTTTCACTAAATTTTAATTAACTTCCCTAGTAATTATTATTTCAAGTTTTTATATAAATCCCTTGTAATATTTTAATGAAAATATAAACTAAACAAAATAATATTAAACTGGCGCCCCTTTGTTTAAATTACTACCTACCAACCAATTAACATCAACCACTAATGAATTCAATCAATAGCGTTACATCTATGTGTTAAAAATACCATTTCGTACGTTTTAATAATAATTTAAAATTAAAAATTTTGTACAACTGACTTCAACATAAGTTATTTAAGAATAACTCAAAAACTATTGTTCTTACCTTGGTCAAATTCATAAGGGACCACACGAGAACTATCAGCTTTCATATAAAAAAAATAATCATCCAAATCGGTTCACCCAGTACGAAGTTATGAGGTAATACACATAAAAAAACATACAGTCGAATTGAGTACCGTCTCCTTTTTGGAAGTCTGAAGTATGAATTTGATCAAGGTCAGACCAATAGTTTTTGAGTTATTCTTAAATAACTTATATTGGAGTCGGCTGTACAAAATTTTTAATTTTTAATTATTAGACATGTGAATGCTATAGTAATATATCATAAAATTGCTTTGTAAACCGCCATCTACTCCATTCTATGGGTAAAGTCATTTTATCGAACGAAAATTGATTGGCTCTCAAGGTGTAACATAAAGAAGACGCTAGATGGCATAAATACGGCTAGGTACGAAATCGATCGTGGATGACTTTGAATGGACTGGAATATGATAATTTCATTCATTATCGTTTATTTTATTTATTTAATAAATATGCAATTTTTTTAACTGTTTATTTTAACAGTTATTTTATATAGAATTTTCAATTTATTTTTAGTTCTAACAGATCTGCCAGAATAAATGTAATGGAAGGAGAAAGTTGCAATTTTTATCATGTTAAATGCAATTTGTGATGTAAATAAATAATAAAGACACTGGAAATACCTACCATTTTATATTATATATTTTAATTGAGTATCTAGTGTTGTAAATAAATAACTAGATCAAAACTTTAAAATAATAAAGTTAAAACTACAACTATATTTCTGCATTAGCTCCAAGAAAATAACATAATATATAAATTTACTATAATATATCTACAATACTGATCCGCATCGAATAGGTAAGAGTAACTATAAAATCCTCGTATCAGATTTCAACAGCGTATAGGAGTAGAAAATATAAACAAGTGTACGCAGAATATATAGATATTGAAATATATAGTTTTGATATCAGATATAGAAACTCGAAATCTGATTTAGATACGATTCTCAGAAAACTCGATACGACCCAGGCCTACTGGTAACTGTCCTAATCCTATACAGAATATATAATGTACTCTGTGCTCTATAGGAAGTTGTTACTTGATTTTTTTTATTTTTTACCAAAGTATTTTAAGTTTTACCAAAGTGTTAAATAATAAAGTATGATCATATAAGGACATGAGAAGAATATATCTAAACTACACTCATATATAGATTTATTTTTAATATGAAGCCTAGCAAGGTGAACCGAATTACAACAGTGACCCAAGCGCATTCTATATAACATTAATGTATGTTTCTTATTTAAGGTTAATTTATAAAACCAAGACTTAGAAGGAATGGTGGGTTGAATTTTGGCATATTGACAGCCTTTTGTCGTTTTGGTTTTGTACCAATATTTTGACCACCTATCTCTATACAATAATTTCGTAGTCCTTATAAGTTCATAGCAATAATTTTTAAATAGGAAAGTATCCCCACAGACTATAGCTTGTTTAGCAAGTTTGTAGCAATAATTTTTAAATAGGAAAGTATCCCCACAGACTATAGCTTGTTTAGCAAGTTTGTAAGCATATTCATTACCAGATATACCAATATGACTAGGAATCCAAACAAGAGAAATGTTGATGTTTTAAAATTGGTATAAGAATAGAAGTTTCTTAATTTCAAATATCAAAGTATTGCGGGAATTGTCATAGAAAGGATTGCATAACAATGTCAGTAAAGAACTAAGAGAATCTGAAAATATCACGCTTGATTTTAATTTAAAACTATAGCAATATTTTATTGCTTGTAAAATGGCTAACATTTCTCCTGTAAAAACTGAAGATTCGGGAGGACTTTTCATTTTTTGAACTATTTTCCAATTTTGATGGTATATTGCGTAGCCAGTACAACCTTTAGAGTTAATTTTAGAAGCGTCTGTAAAAATATAATGATAACCTGGAAAATTCTTGTCCAACGCAAATAAAAAAAATTATTTGATTCAATAGAAAATTTATTTAATCACATATCTAATATAACATTGGGTTTGAAAAGTGCAACATCAAACGAATTGGAGAAAAGAGGTAAAGTCGCCGATCTATGAATAGGATCTAGTAAGGAATTATCCCACCAAAAACATTCTGTAAAAAACTAGCCAAGTCTCGATGGAGCTGCTTGTTTATCTCTAAAAAGTAATGAAATCTAGACAAAGTCGTGCCAAGTCTAAGGTTCCTTACTGCGATTTCTTTATTATTATAGTTAATGTTGTGTGACTTGGCCGTTGAAGGGTACACAAGGGTACAAAACCAGGTGCTACATTGCATACACACCATTGCACCAATCTGTCGCCAGAACCGCTACCCATTGACGATGGAAAATTGCCACTTGGGAAACGTTGATTGAATAACCAGTCAATTGTAAGCTTGATAAAGTTGCGTTTACACGTCATGTTGCACGTAATTGTGTTTACACGTAATGTTATATCTGTTGCAGCTACCTATGTTTGTTAAGCGAGATAAAAGCCCATAGTGGTATTGGTAATTGGACGCTAGTGTCTCATTTTAGACGGTTGTTGATTGTGCAACACATGCAT